TCTCTCTCTCTCTCTCTCTCTCTCTCTCTCTCTCTCTCTCTCTCTCTCTCTCTGTCTGTGTGTGTGTGTGTGTGTGTGTGTGTGTGTGTGTGTCTTGTCAAGAATCACCCGCCAACACCGCTGATATCACTCTGGCTCCGTATTCGTGTGGTTTGGTAAGGGAGTGGCCACACATCTGTGCACATGATGCACATCTTTTGTGTGTGTGTCTCAAAAATAGGTTGATGACAGAAAGTACTGCACATAAGTTAATATGATGTTGATAGCAAAAAGGGTGACTATTGCCCCCGATGGGAGTTCGTCGATGCCTTCTGTATTCTAGGTGCACATTCTTCTGGTTATGGTCTGTCAGACTTTTTTTTTGTGTGATCATCTTCAGACTGTCTATGATGAGGGGGATATCGTGCATTCATCATTGAATGGCTACTTTGTGGATGAATCTCAGGGTTTGTTCTGCACGGTCGGACTGATTTTGCTTGTCCCGAACCTCTGTAATATATGGAGTGGTTAGTTGGATCTACTTTTTAGGCAAGATAACTGTATTACTTGGTAAAAGTTGTTTAACTGATTTCTTCATTTTCTTTGCGATCTGTGATGATAGGGATGGACCTTGCCAGTAGAAGGGTTCTTTGGTCTCGTATCTCGCAGCAGTCAATGCACAGAGCAACCCTGATTTCCACGCATTCGGTGGAGGAGGCAGAGGCACTCGGGTAAGGAGAAGAATCCGAACATCAAACCCCGCAGTTCTCACTGAAGGCCAGACTCTTAACTGGTACTTGTAGTATGCTCTTAATCTCATTGTCTCATCTTATGATTTGATTGCCATGTATTTAGCCATCAAACGCCAAAGTTTACGTTTCTTTTGTTTTATGTTATCGACAAACTTATCATGGCATCGAAGGATTCAAAACACAATTGTGAATTCTCTTCGGAGGCTGGAATAAAATATTTCATGTTAGGTGCCTCCACCGGGACACTCGGTGTCTTTTTATGTGACATTTTTTTTTTTTTGCATTGTGATGATTGTGGTTATTTTCTGCTCTCCTGTTTCATTCTATTGTTTTGAGTTGCAGCTGCGTAACATCGCTGTCAGCGGTTATTTTTTGCATTTTTTTTTGCATTGTCGTTATTTTTTGCATTTTTTGTATTGTTTTGAGTTGCCACTGCGACTTTCCTGTTTTCCCAGCGGTTGTTACGAGAACTTAGGAGTCAAAATGTCAGCTCATCCCTGACACGTTTCCAGTGGGAACATTCTCTGCGAAACCAGAGTTAATAGTCGTCCTCTTTTGTTATGATGTGCAGGACTCGGGTCGGCATACTTGTCGACGGGGAGCTTCGTTGCCTGGGATCTCCTCAGCAGTTGAAGCGTCGATTTGGGTCAGCGTACACACTACTGGTTTCGGCGCGATCGGACAGGCTTCAGGCGATACGGGAATTCATAGTCACTCTGTTCCCTCCCACGTCAGCACTCCAAGAGGATGATGACTACGTTCCCGGAATGACCACGGGAGGGATACAGCTGGAAGAAGAACTGCTTGGGAACGAAATAGGCGTCTTGGCGAACGGGCAGGCTCGATTCCGAGTGCCGGTGAGCGGTCTGTCATCGCTTGCGATGTTGCTGCATGAACTAGAGGCAAACCGAATAACGCTGGGGATCGAGGACTACAGCGTGAGTCAGCCGACTCTCCAACAAGTGTTTTACAGACTTAGTCGAGGTAGGGGCGAGGTACGTCATGAAAGCGGCGAGCCGTGGAGAGGTAGTGTCTTTGGGGGGAGAAGTAGTGTTCGGTGAGAGATGGATGAATCGCAAACGGTTGATGCAGTTTGGCCACCTTGTTTGGTGAGTGACTGACAAAATGGTTTCTTCAGTTTTGTTGCCTGAACTCACGCGGTTTGATTTCTCATCATACATAGCTGGCTAGCCTTTCGACAAAAGCATTGATATATGGCTATTTGCGAATTTTCAATTTTGAGAATAAGTTGAACAGGAGCCCGGTTGTTTCCGTTTGTGAGTGTTGAGCTCGGATATAGTGGCAATAGTATCGATGGGTGCTTAGAGTGCTCCGATCAGCAGCCGGTCAATCTGTCTGCGAATTTTCGACACAAATGATGTGAGTGGTTCTTACCTCGTCACCCTTGACGATACGGTATTGCTCTGTTCTTTTTTTCTTCTTTTCTTTTCTTTTCTTTTCCTTTTTTGTCGGGCATGAAAGCTGTCGCAGCAGCATATTTGCCTCGGACTCTCTCTCTCGCTTGAAGTGGTTCGTCAAGACTGATATGGCTAGGGTTTGTGTTCCGATTGGGCTGCGGCCTGGATGGTCAGATGGCTTGCATGACCGATCAACAGGCCAGGAATGGTTCTATCTTTCATTGCGTTCCCGTTCTATTTCCGTCCCCTCCCCTTTGCTTCGCTTCCCTTGCCTCTCGTTCCAGCATCTCCTTCTCTCTCCTTGTTTGCTCTGCGTGAACTAGTGTGTTCTTTCAGCTGTGTGGTCACAGTTGCTGCAGTTTTGCCTCCTGGCTGAAGGCTTGAGCATTGCAGTTGAGTCCGCTGTGTTGACAGTGTGTTGCCTTATTTTGAGCATGAAAGTCTTCAACGAACGGGGGGGTCTGCGACAAAGGGAAACATGGCTGATAAGTTCTCTGACTGGCGGCTGCTGACCAGGATCTAATTACCTCCATTGGCAGTGGTTTGGTGGTCAGTTGATTGATTGACGTGAACCAGTCTGTGATTAATCGTTGATTGATTGGGAGGTTGATTGTGATTGATTGGGTGGTTGATTGATTGGTTGATTGATTGGTTGATTGGTTGGTTGGTCGATGAATAGATTGATCTGTTGTTTGACTGACTAAGGGGCCAACTAACTCATTGAGTGATGCAACTGGTTGATTGAGAAATGCCTGAGTGGACTTGTCAGGATACGATCTCTTTATGGATGAGGGGGAATGGATGAGTTGGCTGTTCTTCTTCCTGAGTGATCCATTGATTGATTAATAACTGATTGACATGTTGGTTTGATTGATTGGACAGTTGGTTGAACGGCGAATGGTTGGTTTGATGGTTGGTTGTACAGTTTGTTGGATGGTTCTTTCATCGGCGGCTGGTTGATTGGTCGACTGGTTGATTGCTTGCTTCAACGTTTGGTCGATTGCTTGCTTCAACGATCTGTCGATGGTTCTTTCATCAGCTGGTTGATTGGTCGACTGGTTGATTGCTTGCTTCAACGTTTGGTCGATTGCTTGCTTGCTTCGACGATCTGTCGATGGTTCTTTCATCGGCGGCTGGTTGATTGGTCGACTGGTTGATTGCTTGCTTCAATGTTTGGTCGATTGCTTGCTTCAACGATCTGTCGATGGTTCTTTCATCGGCTGGTTGATTGGTCGACGGGTTGATTGCTTGCTTCAACGTTTGGTCGATTGCTTGCTTGCTTCCACGATCTGTCGATTGCTTGAACGGTTTGTTGATGGATTGAATTGTCACATTCTGTTGATTGATTGAACGGTTGATTGATCCATTCACTGATTGGTTGATTGGTTGATTGGTGGTTGATTGGTTGATTGATCTGTTGGTTGATTGGTTGATTGATCAGATGATAATCGATGCACTGATTGGAGTGAGTGCTTGGTTAACTAAGCAATTGATTGGTCAGTGTATCAAATCTGCGATTCATCGCTTGATATTGGGACTCGTTCCAGTACTCACCATATGCACAAAAGATAAAAACATATTGTGGTGCATCTTTCCATCTTCTAGCGGAAGATTCATTCCCATTTTCCACATTTGGTGAGTAGACGGAGTCCCATTCTCCTGGCAGTTGCACGGAAGATTGTGCTGAACTGCAAGGTCAGCGGGAGCTATGCCAGTCAGAATATCCTTGAAGGTGCAATCCACATTTCATTTGTTCGTGAACTTTTGGCTGAACATAGTGTGTTTCCAGTCTTGGGGCTTGTAGGGGGGAGGAATGGACGTGTAGGATCGTGCAGACTGCAAAGCAAGGAGGAGCTCCACCAGCCAGCAGACCAGATATCGGCGCAAGAGAGGAGTGTGGTGCAATGGGTCAGGTGGACTTTCCCTTTTCAGTGAGTGCTATACCCTTTTCATGAGGTCGGTGGGGAAATGGTGCGAAAGTGCGCGCGCATGCGCACACCGCATGGGGGAGCTGAGCGGAGAAGCAGGGAGAGGCGGATTTGATAATCCGGGGGAGATGGGAATCGATTGGGTGGAGGAGGAAGATTGGATGCAGGGGGGGGGAATGCGAGCAAGGGCGAATGCCGGAGTAGGCGGAGATGCGGACTCGAGGGGCAGGGGGATAAAAGCGAGCGAGGTTGGGGAGGGCGAGGGCTGGAGTAGACGGAAATGCATACGAGGGGGATTGGAATCGATGGATTCCAAGGGAATGCGGTGGAATGAGGACGGGCAGGTGACGGACTTTACCCTTGTCAGTGAGTGCCGTACTTGCCTCCCGTTGCAGCGGTGGCAGGGTGTGTTTTCCCTCTCCCTCTCCCCCCCTTTTCGTGGAGGAAACAAATTCTGTTCTTAGGCAACACATGTAAATGTTCATATGGCTTGACGTTTGCTGCACCACTGGCTGCTGAGAATGCCTGTATGCCTGCTTGCAGGGCAAACAGTGGCCCCCGGCGGTGCCTGCATTACAGAGGAGAGGAAATAGTTCGAGTCGAGTTGCGATGAGTCCTCCTAGAGGAAACGGTTCCGGCAATGCGAATGTGCGGTAGGAAGAATAATCGAAGACGGGATGGATGATTTATGGTCTTTTTTTTTTTCTTTTTTTTTTTTTTGGATGATCTATGGTCTTAGTTTTAGTGGAGCAGGGGATATAGGCAGCCAGCTTGAAAGTGTGCAACCACCGTGACACGAGGTAAGCAGTTTTTGTTTCCGCTCCCGCTTTCATCGTTAGGTTGTGTTGTGTAGCTGTGCGGAATGTGTCCCGCGATATGTTTTTTTAATATGTGTAGTGAGCTTTATATTTGTTTGTTTCCCCTCGCGTATGTGTGTGCTTGCATTTTAAAAAATGGCGATGCAGGCATTGCAGGGCTTGTTACAGTGCTGTCTTTCTTTTTTCTTTTGTGGTCAGCATGGAGTTGACATATTTGTTTCTACAGTGGAAGGGTTTTGTGTTTTTTTTTTTTTTTTTTTTTTTTTTTTTAAGCGTGGTGATTAACGTGCAGTTGACGTATTTGTTTCTACAAGGGAAAGGGTTTTGTGTTCATGTTTCTACAAGGGAAGGTTTTTGTGTTTTCCCTTTTTTTTTTCTTTTTTTTTTTTTGTTTGAAAGTGTGATGGTCAACTTGGCGTTGACATATTTGTCTCTACAAGGGAAGGGTTTTGTTTTCAACAGTGATGCAGTTCAACGATGAATCGTCGATGATGCAAAGGGTGGGTGTTCTTTTCTCTATGACGTGAGGTGGGCTACGAGGGAGGGGGGAGGCGGGGGTAAAGATGGGAGGTGAGGGTGAGACAATGACTGGGCATGGAGAAAGAACTTGGGAAGCCTTTGAAATTCTTGTCTGACTTCTTTTTTTTTTTTTCGTTCCCTCGATGGTGCGGTTGTTTTGGAAAGCACAGGCACGGTTGTGTAGGGAAAAAAACAAGAAGTGGCTTCAAATAATTCAAGTAAAACAATTTTCAGTTTCCAACTGCGAAATGGAAGAGGCGCTTCAGTTTAGAGTCTTTAGACTGAGGGCGTACTCACGCTAGCCATGTCTTAAACGTACCTGACTGCATTTACGGCCTTGTCTGGATGAAACTGATCGCAATTGCGTTTTCTATAAACAAGTAAAAAAAAATCGAAGCCTGAGTATTACCCCAGTTACTAGACCACCAGAGTGGGCCGGGACCAATATGCCCGGCCGGGCCAAAAAAGAACAAAAAAAGTAATTATTATTTTTAAATTTAAAATTTTATTTTAAATTTGGTAAAGAATTTTGATGTGACACTGAGGCAAAAGTTGTTCAGTTTATTTTTCTGCATAACATAGTTTCTTTCCGGAATTTTTTGATTTTTTATTTTTTTTATTGGGATGGTTTTTCTCCGGTCCTTGCACGGCCGGGCTGCCCGGGAAAATAGGGTCAGTTACATATAATCTGGAGAGAGAAAGGAGGAGGATCGTCTCTCAAACCACAGCCACTTCTTTTTCTTTTCCCTCTCTTTCTTCGTTTTTTCAGAATAACGAGCCAAGCTTGAACTTCGGTCTTAGTATGAAATGTAAAAATTAGAGGAAAACAGTCCGAAAATTAGGAAATTGAAAAATCAGTGAACAAATAAAAAATAAAAATAAAAATAAAAATCAGGGAGCTATTTGTAGCAGTGAGGGAATTATGTGTTCAACAACTCCAAAAAAAAAAAGAAAAAAGAAAAAAAATCAAAGAGAGATTTCAAACCTATGCCGAAACTAACGATGTTTCAGCATTCGAAGCACACTGCAAGCAAAAAAGCAAGGGAGATGTGTCCTCCTTTTTTTCTTCTTTTTTTTTTTATTTTTTTAAGCTTACGACAACACGCATTACCAAGCTTCACAGAAAAAAAAAAAAAAGGGAAGGAAATTTCAACTCTGGGTGAACGAGCCTTCCACCGCCTTAACAAGTGTGTTGAATTCAGAGACGGCATGCCTCCTTGTCTGATTATCTTCGCGAAGTTCGCGTCACATTAAACAGTAGTAGTACTAGACTGCCTGAGAAGGTACAGGTTGCTATGGCGTTTTAGCAAGCACAGTATGAAAGCACCTAACCACTATACATGCAGAGTGTGAAAGCACTATGTTGCCTGTGAGAAGGTTTCGAGTTTTGCATGGCGTTATAGCATATGCACAAAACGAAAGCACGGACATGGGATGGATTGAAAACATGTACATGGGTAGGTGAAAAGCACCAGATTGCATGAGAAGGTACAAGTTGGCATGGCAGTATAGCATGCACAATATGAAAGGACGTACAATATCCTCGTTTTGTGTTGCTAAGACATCGCAACGATGTGCTGCACTCACAAAAAAACTGCCAGTGACATACTGGATGAAGGTGGGGATGATGTCAAGTCCGCATGGCCCTTATGGGCTGGGCTACCATGGTAGGAATTTGTGTACAGATTGTGGGCCTGTCTGTGTGCGCCATCTCGTTCATATGCACTGCGCTGTTGGTGTGTCATGCGTGTGGCTGGGTACCGTTGTAGTTTCCCGACCTCATGGTACACCAGCGAGAGTCCATACTTGCATTGTACAGTTGTGGTCCCGGTCCGGCCCCGCTCTCTGCTCCACCCGTCAGTAGTGGCAGGGAGGGATTGGGTGTGAGGTATGTATTCTCCCGAAGGCTGGGCCTCGTGTCTATCTTACGATGCTTGCGGGCTGAGCCGGAGCCGAACTATGATACCACCACTAGCTTTCAGGCTGGGAGGCTAAGTCGTGAAAGTAAACATATGCTGCATTCTTAGGAGGACGGGGGAGTCTGGGCGCCAGCCAAAAGAAAACAAACACGCTGTGCTGGCGCTTTGGCCCCCAGTTGGCTTTCATGCAGTTCGGCTCCGCCTCGGCAAAAAGAGGGTCGGATGTAGTGGTGGTGGTTTATCATCAACCTTGAATTGTGGACTCTATCAGATGGAGAAGAGCTCAGCCTGATGGGCGGTCCGCATTTGTGATGGGTCCGGTCTTATTCATAGTGATTGACAAGTGCAGCGAACGGGCCTGGTATATAAAAACTCGAAAAAAAAATGAAGCCCTCTGCTACCTCACTCTCCAGCAGATGTAGCTCCCCATCAATAGACTGGATCCCCATGCAAGACAAGGAGTGTATGCACTTATCCTTCACTCCTAGCTGTTGAAGCAGGTGGAATTAAAAATAAAAATTAAAAAAAAAATTAAAAAAATTAAAAAAAAAAAACCTCGTCTCTAGGTGTCCATGGTATCGTGACAGCAGGATATGCTTTTTTTTTTTTTTTCTTATATAAAAAAGGAGGACTGGCAAGTCCAGATTGAGCTCAGTTGGTTAGGCACGCAAGTGATATTCAGGAGGTTGTGGGTTCGAGCCCCACAACCGCCTGCGGCGCACTTAGTGCCAACCAGCAGTGATAGTCCGCTTGATACCTCTGATCGGTAATAGCAGGGTCCTTGGCCAACACGGGTGCGAGTGTGAGTGTGAGTGGGTTGTGTGTGGTGTGTGGGAGAGTGTTGGCCTTATACACTGCTGTTATTCGGTTGGGGGTGGGGGACGATGAAAAGGGAGGCGCAGCTACTGGCAAATACTCGGTCTTTGCGTTAGCCGGACCCCCACCGGCGGCCCCACCCCATCCTTGACCACCATGGTTGGGGCGGGGGGCAACATGCATCCCCTCTGATGGCTGGAGGGAGACAACAAAGCTATGTTTGCAGGGTTCCCCTGTCTAAGCCTTAGGAGTAGTGCTAGGTACTTAGTGAAGGTGAATTGAAAGAATTTGAAAGATGATGAAAAGATTTGAGAGAAGAATATAGCGTAGTTTAAAAAA